CTGGGGAATTCTGGGAGTTGAAGTCCACACATCTTCAAGTGGCCAAGGTTGAGAAACACTGTCCTACAGGAATTTGTGAAAGGATAGCTGCATCATCAGCATATAGAAGAAGTGGAATATCTACCCCAACAGTCTTGGGGTGCTAGAAGCTTGAGTTGGATAATCTGCCTGATAGGGGAGAGTTTAAACAGAGGATGAATAAGGTAAGAGCTAAGATGCAGCCTTGCCTAACCCCCTTTCAGACAGAGATTGGAAACTGCTGGGATAATTTTTTAACCAACTAGGCAGTCTCCTTTCCACTATAATTTTTTAACCAACTAGGTCACTGCTTTCCACTATAAAATCAAGTAATTCTCTGAAAGGAAAATCCAACAGATTATTGCCCTATCTTTTTCTAGTACACAGCTAGCAAAGTTATTCAAAACATCTGTAGAGGAAATTACTGGGTAGGTGCAAATGTATACTGAAGGAGGAACAAACAGGTTTTAGTGCAGGATGTTTCCTCTTTGGATTAAGCTATGATCTGCCAGCACCTCATTGGGAATACACCAACCAACTCTGTTCCACGCTTTTCCACATTTACTGTATTGACTTTAGGGTTGCTTTTGACTTGATTTCAAGGACAACCTGCAGTGCAAAAATTCTTTTCTTGACAAACACTTATTGTTTTTGCTACTTAGACTTCATGAAGAATGGTAGCTAAAACTTAGGCATCATTAGGATGTCTTTCAAAGTAAGTTCCTATAAGGAGATATGTCAGGGAGGGCTAAATCTTGGTGCCTTTTCTTTTTAATTATTATTCTATAAACTCATGGGTAGCCCACCATTTTCTTAAACTGGCAAAGAGGTCTCTATCTTACTGCATGCAGATGACACAGTAATAATGTCACTGACCCTGGCTGGCATGAGCGGAGGCTGTTGGAGAATGGGAAGGGTGGGAAGGGGACAGCAGGTTACCCAGCCACACAGACACAGTGTTCTTCTATCAGTTAAACTGATTTTTATTGTTGCAATGCAAATAAAGTTCCTTAATTCTTTCAATTGCTTCCTCCTTTATTTACTACGGTTACTAAACTTAATCATTGTTTTGTTGTGTTAACTCCTTCTTTACACAGCTTTGATTTACTTTTGCTTTCTGCTGTTAGCCTAGAGAAGAGGAAGGAAAGACGGGAATATAACCCTTTTCCCTGAGCCTCCTGAAAGCCAGCACCTCAGGTACACTTCTCCACTGTGTTACTCCTGGTCTCTCTTTTCCAGTGCAGCTCCAGCAGTTTCACTCCCGATGTTGGGATTCAAGAATGCCAAGGAAGCTCTCAGACAATGGCCATTAGATAGGGAAGATAAATATAATAGGCCTCACTGCCTGGAGATGGGGCAGTTTGGGGACTGGTATCATCATTATATAAAATTGATGGCACCCAGCTTTATATCATGATTCCAGGCCATGCTGGAGTTGCTCTCAAAGACTTGTCTCAAGGCCTGGAGGTTGTGAGGGTCTAGTTGGAGAAATCAGGTAGAAATTGAACACATTGGAGTTGGTGCTTATCCATTGGGGTTCCCTTTTGGTTCCGGTGGTGACATTGGGTGGGGAGGCACTACCTCTAAAAGAGCAAGTACATATTTGGGACCCTCCTAGACTTGTGGCTGTTGCTGGAGCAGCAGGTAGAGGTTGCAGCTAGTGGTCCCTTTGCCCAGATTTGGCTATATGCCAGCAGCAGCCTTATCTGGGATGAGAGAACCTTGCTACAGTGACTTATGCCCTCATCATTCATATCTATCTCTATCTATTATCTATCTATCTCTCTAACTATCTATCCACCTATATATCTACCTACCTATCTATCTCCAGCTTTTCTTGTCTCTTGTCTCTAGTAGACAAGGACCAGAAGACAGCAGTGGTGATAGATGTAGCAGTGCCAAGTAACAGCAACATCAGGAAGAAGGAGTATGAGAAGCTGGAGAAGAACCAGGGCCTGAACTAGAGAGGATATGGAAAGTAAAGGCCAGTGGTGGTAGGAGCACTTGAGGCTGTGACTCCTAAGCTGGGAGAATGGCTCCAACAGATCCCAGGAACAACATCAGAGCTCTCTGTCCAGAAGAGTGCAGTGCTAGGAACAGCTAAGATCCTGCGTAGAACCCTCAAGGACCCGAGACTGAGAAAGACACATACCACCCACAGGGGTTTTTTTTTCCCCCATATATAGATAAGATTTAAAAACTGCCCAGCTATAGAATGATTCTCAAAGGGCAGGTGGAACATCTCCATCTAATGTGCCAGTTGTGCCCATTCTCTTGTCACGTTCATGTAGGGTTTCTTCCAGTAGTCCACTTATCGTCAGATTGTCCTGGACTCCAACATCTGGACCTTGTTAATCTGGGCAATGTCCAAGCCAGCATGACTCTCTTAGTTTGTGTTACTCTCATACTGAAGGTAAGCAAGTGAAGTGTTAGGGGATCTTCGCCCAAGAACTCCTACTGGTAAGGTAGGTACCAGCCGGGATTCGAACCCCGGTCTTCCACGTCAAAGGTGGTGCTCTAACCACTATGCTATCCAGCCACTCTATCTATATATATATTAGATTTAAAGGCTGCCAACTGTAGAATGACTCTTGAAGAGCAGGTGGAACAGTGTGCAAGTTGTACCCAGTCCTGGATCAGGCAGCCCTCCAAATTGTCATTTATGTCCTAGTCACTTCATGGTTGGACTATTACAATGTGCTCTCCATGGGGCTGCCCTTGAAGACCACTTGTTTAGACTACTGTAACATACTCTACATTAAAGGGGTTGCCTTTAAAAGCAATCCACAAGCTTCCGTTGATACAAAATGCACAGCCTAGATGCTCACCAGCAGTTGCTGTTGGAAACATGTGAAACCGGCCTTGCATTAGTTGACAGTTAGCTTCCAGGCACAATTTAAGTGCTCGTGTTAACCTCTCAAGTCCTCTACAGCTTGGTTCCTGGCTATCTGTAGGACCATATCTCCCCATTGGTATCAGCCTGTCCCTTGAAGTCATGCTCGGATGGGATAAGCAGCTGATGGTTCCCATTTTTGGAAGGTCAAGGGCATTGCTTTTCAGTGCCAGCCCTCTGGAATGGCCTGCTGCTTAAGATCAGATCAACTCCTGCTTTCGCTACCTTCTAGAAGAAGCTGAACAGACCATTTCTGGAGGACAGAGTTAGTTGGAGGTTTTGTTCAAGAAAAAAACTCCCATGTACCTCATCTTCCACATATCAGGGCTGCCCTCAAAGATTCAAAACGTTTTTTAGCATCAACTTTCTTTGGTTGTTAACCGATCCTGGCATAATTTTTCCCTTAATATTTCCGTATTCTCTGAAGTAAAAGATGCAAAGTAAAAAAGCAAATAACTTCAGACCAATATATACATGGAGAAACACCCTGTTCTCAGGTTAATTTTTAATTGTAATTAGGGTTAGGTAAGAAACATGTATCAGCCATTAGCAGCAGAAAAGCTTCACATCATTGAGTGCTGTGTCATCACCCCTGCCCTGTGAACCCTCCACCCTTGTTTGGATCCCACAGATGCCAACTGAGGGGCAGCGATGGCTCCATGCCCCAAAACTACCCCAGTGCATCCCATGGCCCACCAGGGCACTACCATCACTGCAGGTGAATTGGATGTTGTTAGCTGCTGTATCATCACCCTTTCCTTGAGGTGGTTCCACTCTCAGAGAAAAAGAAACCAGGTAGCCTGAGGGACAAAATTGGTTCTCTGTCCAGGTTCCCCACCTGCCAAAAAAGACAATAATGGATGAGTATCTCTTTGGTGCCTAGATTAAGCACTTGTCAGCAGTCCAAGAGATTCAGGTGTAACGGTTAAGGTCTTGGGCTAGGACTGTGGAACCAGGCTGAATGTTATTTCTGGCTATCAAAATTCATCAATAACTCTGGGTCAATAGCTGAGTCTCAGCCCAGTCTGACTCATTGGGCTGTTGTTGAAGGAAAAAAAATTGGAGGTGTTGATTTGGGAGAGGGGTCTTTGCAATAAAGACAGTTGGAACAGACATCTCATATGCCCCAATCCTGCCCTCATCCTGCTTCAAGGCATTTTGCAGAGGCCCTATTTGGCAGTTAACCAGATTAAATGATCTGATAAATAGGTAAAAGGTATGTATGCAAATAATTCATATTTTCCAACAGTGCAATCCCATCACCTTTAATACAGCAATCAAACCATTCCCTGGCTGAATCTGACTGAATTGACTGGGATTTGATTTTGAAGAGATTTGCCCAGAATTCCAGAATATGACATTAAGAATAACCACACTGCTGCCCTTCATAAACAGCAGCTGGACATGTCACTCAGCACTACGGCCCATGTCTTGCCACAAGGAGAGCTACAACAACGGTAGACAGATGCATGAGCTGCACAATGAGAGAAGTGTGTGGGAGACTAAGCTCTGCAAGGGTTGTGGTCGGAGTGATTGCGTGTAGGGAAACAGCAGGAGAGCAGGGATTAAAAGGATGGCGATAAATTTGCTATGGCTGCCTGTCACCGTGCGATGAGGTTCATTTTTGGACCAGAGATGTATTATGAAGCAAAGGTAGCAATGGACACAGAGTCACACAACATTGGAGGCTATTTAATGTTTTGTTTTCTTTCTTTTTTTTACAGAAGGCATTACTTTTTTTACAGAAGGCATTTACAGAAGGCATTTACAACCAGGTGAATGACAGAGTGCTGGGGTCAGGTTACTTCCCACATCTCCCACAGGAAAAGGCTTGGATTACTGGTGGGTGCTCAGCATTACTTGACTCAGCACAGCCAGAACCCCATCCACTTCTGTGCTGGGGGAAGAACCTCTTTCTGGGTCTTCTGTCCACTTTTCCCCAAAAAACAGGGCTTCTATTCTGGCAGCCAATTCTCCCCTCTCTCCTCCCCAGGAATTTGGGTGAAGCTGCTACCTGCAACCAGCCAGATCCTTTCTAGCCCTCCAGGGTCTGGAGTCTTGGATGGAGTTCATCCCTCTGGCTCTTCTCACCCCAAGCAGGAACTGACACTTGTCCTGCACAGCTCACTTCACTCTCCTGCTCTTCTCCAGCCTTTTCTCTCCAACTTCTCCTTCCACTCCAGCAACAAACTTTGATTCTCCACTTCTCTCTCCAATTTTGGGTTACTCTGGCAGCATGTCCCACAGCAACTGAGGAGGTGGGTGTCCCCCCAGGGCTCTGGTCCCCAATAGCTACATACCTCCCTCCACCAATGCGTCTGCTTACTCCCACACAAGCCCTGGCTAGCAGTCAGGTCAGTTCATCAAGCCCTGGGACAGTGCAGCTGCCCTTCAAGAACATGAGTGAGCTGGTTCTTTTCTCCTTTTCCTCAACTCCATGTTGGGTTCACACCAGCAAAACCACAGCCATGACAGGCCTCAAAAGCCATATACCACACACCCAAAATGTTAGTAGCTATCTGTGCACCTCTCAGGAACAGAAAAGTCTCCATCCATGTCTCAGCATCAGCTGCTCATTCAGAGAGGCCATTAAACAACACTTCAAGTGCCCTGCCTTTCTGAAATCAGTAAAGCTGACTTTCAGGGCTGGATTAGCAATGAACTAAGCAATAGTCATCTCCTCTCCCATTCTTGATGACAAGAACATGAAATACAGCAAGTCAGTTACTCACGGTCCAACTGTAGACTCAATTGTTCTGCCATCACTACAGTACAAGCGGATTCCATTCAGAGCTGTATCATCGCCATTCCCTTGGGATCTCTCTACCTGAAAAAATGAGACTGATAAAGTTGGAGATCAGCCTTTCTCCCCTTGGTGTCTGTCAGACTTCAATTCTCAGAATGTCCAACATTGACCTATAAATACGGGACAAAGATCAAGACTTGATTTGCCACACACAATAGTTATGTTCAAACAACCTGCTTAACATGGTCATTGAATTAACCCATTTTCTCTGTTTGGATAATACCAGAAAGAAACCATGCAGACAGAATTCACAATACACATTAAGCCACAAAAAAACCCATAAACAATCTTTACCTGTGATGGGATTGCAACCATCAGGTCCATCAACATCTTGGTTAAGCATATTATATGGACACAGCTAATGGGATTCTAAAGGAACACATACCAACTTGCCTGGAATTCAGTCTTTAACACC